TGCTGTTTACGACCTGCATTGGAAGGATTTAGTGGATTATTCAATTTCTTGGAGACAAATTTCAACATGCATCATCGACAAAATGAATTTATCGATTTTATGACTGAACAGCGAGACGAAATGAACTTGTGGGGGGAAATTGTTAGAAAATAGGACTGAGGGAAATTGATACACTATTAAAAGCAAGTTGAAATCTCGATTTTTTTTTTAGCACAAGCAAGACTTGTTTGAGAACTTTGTCGATTTTCTCTCAGTGTAGAGCGCGTATAAGAATTTTGATGGAAAAATAGAAAGACAGGAATATCTCCAAAACTTTGTACGAATTATTCAACCCTATCGGTACATTCTAATGAAGAATTAACAAAAAAATGTTGAAAAAACGTAAATTCAATTGTTGAAAAACGAAAATTCATCTCCAATCTTTCTCTTTCGTTTGAAATTCCAGTGAAATCTGAATCACCCCTTGATTCCACGCGCAGAATTCAGATGGAAGACCCCCAAACTTTCCCCCAGGAACAGAGAATATCCTGAGCGTTCCAAAATGTTGGTAAAGTTTTTCAATCAAACATACGTAAACGTCGGCGCTTAGCAGCACACTTTAGGAAATAATTCGCATCCCCCAGTGTGAGTATTAACTCGCATATAAATTGCTGTTTAAGGGCTTATGCGGAGCTTCAGTTGCACGGCCTCGTGTGAGGGATAACGTAGGAACAAAAGGGAAGACATCAAAAGAACAGTTTTTTGCTCAAACGATCACTTTACATTCGATTTCTATTGGGATTGTAAAGCACTGAAAGATGAGTCACGTTTAGTTATTGGCCCCGAGGGGATAGAGCACGTAATTCCGCACTTATTCGAGAATAATTACCAATAATTCTGCAGCTTGAAGTAGGGCAAACACCCGGGGCGACATGATATGCGCGTTTGGACGGTCCCTTTGGTGCGATTAAACATGATGCAACTATTTGGAAACAAAAATCAACAACTGACTTTAAATATCCGGACCATTTCACTCAAATTATTTGATCCGTATTTGACTCACTGTTCATGTTTGAGTTCGCAGATAAAAAAGTTCAAGGTTTAACCCGGGAAATTTCCCGTAGATTTATTGTAAATTATCAAAAAAGGATTTTTTTGTGCCAAACATGCAGAGAGTGCGCCAGAATGAAAAATATTTGTTGATAAATTTTCCTTTATATGAGATATTTTCATCCTGAAAAGGCACCGTCTGGTGTGAATGAGCCTTTTGAGCCAAATATTTCGTTGCTGTCGAAAGCAGAACAATTATTCATATTTGAGACTTTCAAATTCGAACCAAATTCTTTTTTGGCAATTTTCAACTAGCGATTTTGTTGGCCCAAACAAGACTTGTTTGACAACTTGTTCTTTTTTCTCTCACTCTCAGTGGAGTTAAAATTATCTAATTTCCCCGACTCCAATGAATTTAAACTTTCCCTTTCACTTCGATAAGATGTCGAATTGATTTGATCGGCAAGTGGTGCCAGTGCAATTATTTTGACAAGAAATATTTTTCCTCCACCCTGACACGACTCGAATTAACGCAACGAGAAAAATCGATTACGAGTGGTTTCTTCCGACCTGTTTGCAAAAGTGGAAGAGTATACAGAGGACAAAAGTAGAGAAAAAAAGGGAGTCAGAGGAGAAATGACTGGGTGACGCGGCAGAGGGGATCAATATGTTTGTTAAGTAAACTGGAGTTGCTGTTCATCCACCAGGGGAAAATCGATGGGGAATCTTGGTGTAATGATTCTCATCAGGAAACTCATTACTCCAAGACCGTCGGCCAGCACTTCTCGGCTCTCCTCGTCTTATCACATCGGGCGAATGTTTTTTCATTTGCCTTTATATTTTTATTTCTCCGCATTTTTCTCTGCCCCGGAGTGCTCGACTAAACTTAATGACTCTTTCATTTATTTTTGTTTCACCAAAGCGTTCTCGGGATTTTTCAACAATCAATGTTGATGCACAAATTCGTTTCGCAGGGAGGTGAGACTCAACGGTCCGCAATGGTACACATTATACCATGGAAAATCGTAACAAATGCAAATTACGGGTAATGGCTTTTACCCGGTGCTCACATTTGCGTTCTATCCTCGGGGGATGAATTATAAGTTTTTTGCTCTGATTGGTGGAAAATCACCCATTCTCCTAGGCTATCTGGGATTTTGCATAGGGATTTTGAAAAAATCACAGAATGTACAAACAAAAATCATCAATTGAATTAGCAATTGCGGCAAATTCAACATTACTCCAACATTGCTTTAACGTTGACAGCCAGCATTGTCCCAACATTGGAATTGTTTACGTTTCCCTGAATATCGGTTTCCAAAAATTTTTTTCATCACTTGTGCGCAAAGTGGAATTTTACGTACGTGGAACCTGCGTTCATTGAATTACTTTCTCACTACTGTTCCTTTATTTTTCAAATAAAAGCGGGTGGAGCTCAAAGTGAAGGGAGCCTCGAGGATCACAAAAAAATAATGGACACCTGCGTTCTTTGTAAGGCATCGAGTACATCAACTGGTCCCTTTTCACAGTTCCCCAGTATTGAATTGCACGGGGATTCCCCTAGTTTTATGAAAAAAGTCTTTGTACGGAGGAAGTCACTTGAAAACCTTTCACTCAGTGTTGACGATGAATACACAAGTCCATGTAATCCAGATGTTTTCCTTTGTCACTTTCATCGCTTTCATTTGGTGAATAAACAAATAAAATCTATCGCCAATGACGAAATATTATTCTCGTTCCCTTTAGTAAAATGAAAAATTGAATATGTGCACTGTTGAAAATTAAATTTATATTTCTCCATTGATAATTAGAGAAATATAAATATGTATCTCTCCATTGATAATTAGAGAAATGTAAATTTCTCTAATTGGTGTTTTGAAAATTGCTGAAAATTGTTTCTTAATCGATTGAAAATGGAATTGTATGTAATGTTCAATTCTCACGATGAGTTTGGAAAAATTTACTGAACGCTTTTGTTTGAAATTGAAGTCAACCTCGCAACATCGAAAATTCAGATGATGTTGTGACTGAAATTTCAAGAGACTTCTAACAGCGTGAGAGAAAAACAGACTTATCAAACAAGTTTTACATGTGCCAAACAAGCGTGCGAAGAGATTGAAAATGTTTATTGGAAAAATAGATTTGGTGTTTTCAAAAAAATTTTATTCTCTGGGGAAGCTTATTTGCGCTTCGGAAAACGTAAAAAACGAATTGTTAGAGGTAATTTACGTTTAGGTTTTTCTGCCGTTCCTCCCGTCTGACCAAACCCTGAATTTTCTACTGATCCCCTACCACCACATGACATCACACTGAATCCCCCAACATAGAAATACAATAGAATCGACGACCAAATACCACTATTTTCCCCTTCATTGCCTGTGTGTCATCCTCTCAAATCCCCATCCACCTCCTCCTCATTCATCCCTCCACCACCTCCCTCGCTATTATTCAAGTCTTTTCATATTGGTTGGGAAAATATACGACGAAGATTATGGTGGGTTTCGTCGCCCAATTAAATGAAAATTGAATCAATCTCGTTTGCAGATTCACGAGAACGACAGTTCTAAAAATGGGGGAAATGCACGCTGTTACACTGTTGGAAAAAAATGGAAATTTCATGGAAAATTTGATAATAATTCTCCCAAGGAAGACATTGAATTCGATTTAAGAGGAAAAAAATGATGAATTTTCAGATTTCACTGAAAATCGCAGCATGAAAACAAAAATTCCCCTGCTTACTTGAATTTATAAATAAATAAAAATTTTAGACTACATTTACCTGAAATTCCTAATTTCTATTAATTTTCATGGAATAATTGAACTAAAATTTACACTTCTCATTGAAATTTCAATGAAACTCCCTCATAAAAATGAAAAATGAAAATTTCCAACGAGTGTTCCCCCTTTCCCTTCACCCACGGTCCCAATAATCGATTCCTCATTCGTTCCCTCATTCATCAATCACTTCGATCGAGCCACGCTTAAACGAATAGGAAGCTCTCCCCCCAGATAAACGATAAAAAGTGGAATGTTCATCGTGAGACGTCGAGCTTCGCTATAACCCCGAAACAAGAATGTGGAGTGGGTTCCCCAATATTCTGGCAATCGCGAAGTGAAAAGAAACACTAAACCGCGGCCATCAAGGTCACCCGGCTGTTCTCCCCAGCCTTTCCATCCGCCCCCTCCCCATCTTCATAATTTTCCTCTCGCATTTCACTCCGACGGAAAATCCTCCGCTCGCGAAACGGCGGCTCGAGTGAATCTGGAACATTTCCATTCACTTAGCGATGGAAATGCTCCTGCAGTGGATGTACAAATAATAATTATTGTGCATCAGGTAGGTTGGACGGCCGGTGGTGGGGGAGAGTCGGGTGGGGGTATCCGAGGCGCAAATAGCCGACAATTGTAGATAATTAGCGAGTCACGTTCGAGTGAAACGCGCGGGGGCGTTGAATTTCCGTCGAGCTTATTGTGCACTTCGGGTGATCGTTGCAGTGTCGGTGAATGGGTAAAAACAGGGATCACAGGGCGCGAGGGGTTGAGGCCTTTGAGGTACAACGAGTGGGTCTGGTGACGCTGAATGATTGATGTGCTTTCCCTATCAAAGGTATTGTGTATAAAGCATGTACACATGGGGTAGGGGAGACCGGGGCATAGTGGGGTACATAAAAAAGAGGCCAAAATTGTGAACTTCAAGGGGTCAATCAGGGATCAATAAAAAGTCAGAAAAAGCTAAAAAAACTAGAATAATACTGAGGAAAATTTTCTTTCAAGTGGAAGAACTTTTTATTGTGATTTTATTTAACTTTTATTGAAAATCAATGCATACTCCGTTGGAAATCGCCAACACCAATATTATCACCAAATCATCATCATCATCATCACGTATGCGTTTTCCCTATCAAACATTTAGGAACGAACGTGTGACATCTCTTCTTTATGCAAAAATATTCTTTATTTTTTTGTTCCAGATCTTTTTAGAAACGCTGCAGAGGCGGGACCCCTGGATATCGTGAAGCTTCGTAAGGACGATAAACTGCTCAATATTTCGCCGCATCTACCAGCGAATACACCAGACCAGCCGTACATACTGCAGGTGAGCTTTGAATTTAAACAAAAAAATGAAAAAAAAATCCAGGGGAGGAGGGAAAAATCCCGGCTTTCTTCCACCTCTCGGGAGTTCTGCTGATCAGGTATTCCTGTCATAAGCCGTACAGTAGTCATCCAGCTGGCAGATAACTCTGCGCTTGAAACTATTAAATATATCGGGGAGGAGGTGGGAGTCTCTGTCGGTGGACCAGATGCTGATATTCTGGGCACGTCGGGGTGTGCTTGCGAGCATTGAAACGTGGGCGAGCGCGTGGAGCAGTCGAGGAGAATGAACGTACCTGGTCTCATGGGATTTCACGAATCCCTCGATACTGCCGGTTATTTTCACGTTCAACAATGCTCTTTCACGTTCCGCAGTTATAGACCCCAGTAAAATCGAAGCAATTACTTAAAAATAATCATAGAATCGAGGAGAAAATTTTCAGGAGCTCAAGCTGATTCATTGAATTCAACATTGCCCCACGTTAAATTTTTTTCCCTCGCCCTAAATATTCCCTGATGAGTCAAGCCCAGAGTTAACTTCGAATTTGATCTAACAGGGTCGGGTTCAAAATAAATGTTTTCAACAACAGGTGATGCAATCAATCTCATGATCGAACTCAAGATGACATTGGAAAGAATATTTCAAATAAAAATTGAATTTATTTAAACAATTTAATAGTGAAGTGGTAAACGGAGATAAGTCGACCCATCTCCTAGTTAAGTTTTTGAGGAATATTTCCGGATCTAAGGGAGATAGCGAAATTTTCGTATCTACATTTGTTGTAGCACTCAATCTGCCCCACAAAAAAGGTTATGACAAAAATTTCGCTATCTTCCTTAGATTCCGAGATATTGATTGAAAACTGGTCAATAGTCAAAATTGACTCATCTCCTTTTACCATTTCGCTACTGAATTAGTTTTTCAACTTTCGAAAAACGATCATTTTTACAACCTTAAGTGCATACATACATCCAGACGTGGTCTAACAATAGCATATTTGAACTCCCGAGGCCAAAATTACACTGACGCAAAAAAGGGAAATTCGGATTTGCTTGCAGTGGAAAGCAAAAACAAAATAAAACGTGTTATTACTGACAATTAATGTTCCAGATTGTCGGAGCCCATCCGGGATCATCAGGCATGATAGAGGCAGACCTCCTAAGAGAGCTTGAGACACGCATCTCAGCAATGGAACGTGAACTCCGGGTTCACCACTGGACGGAACTATCAGAGCCGTCAGTGGCATCCCTGAAGGAGCTCAAACATCAAATGGATGCGTTTCGGGCTAAACTCGAAACGACGGAGCATCTCAGCTGGCTCGGTAAGTCCTTCCCGGTCTTAAGGTTTATATAGCATGCACTTCAATAATGCCTTCTATACCCGGCCTGCCCATCCCATTCCTGTTTGGATACTGAGATAATAGACTGAGAGATATTGAAACATTTCGAATTTATGATGCGATATTGATACGAGGGGAATGGAAATATCCCTGTGTGAGTAATGCTCGGGGTTTTAGGCTTTATTCAATATATTATTCAGTGGTTTCAATATCGCGTCGACATTTTTCATGGAATATTCAGGATATTGGAGTGTTTCGTATTTCTGGTGATGAGTGGGTCAATGTGGATTTTCAATCGTGAAATGTCAGGCGTTTTTTTCTTTCCCAAAAAATTCTCTATACCAAATTTTCTTTTGACGTTTTCCTGTGAATCCAATAGTTTCCTGGATGTTTACAAATTGAAATGGAAATCCTATTCTACCTCTCCACAAAAAAATTTCTGTCCGTAAAAAAATTCATTTCTATCATATGTTTAAGCATGAAAATTTTGCGGATTAATTCTCACTTCTTCCAAGAAGTTCTGAAGTGAACAAATGTTTGTGGATTCAAGAGTTTTTTTCCACTGAAACCCGGAAATTTCTGACCAAATATGTGCACAAGCAGTTATCCCCCCGGTCTTTGTCTTATCAATTAACGGACAATAAATGTAATGGAAAAGTAAAAGATATTGCAATTGAATTCAACTGGATCCACTGCATTCAAGACGAATGACAGATATACGATCGCGCAAATATCGTCGACTGCCAGAAATCCGCGTGGCCACTGAATAAATATTTACACTCCTGTGCTTGCGCTATTCCTATGCCAGTGGAACTAGCCAAGAGCTTGGCTCAACTCATTTATGATTTTTTCCCACGTTATTTGACTTCTTCGGGAAATCGGGGGTAAATGAAATATATCGAAACCTTCACCTTCTATTCGTAAATTCGGAATGATTCCGCGGATATATTTGGAGGGAAGAGGCTCAGGGGATTTAGTCGGTAGATATTTCTTGTAGGTCATTTCATGCTTTGTGGAAAATGACATCTTATTGACATTTTTCTGTGGCGTCAGTCATTACCAGAATAATTGTCCCTTCAACAAAATTTTTCTTATCAAACCCCAATTTCGGAATTATTGAATTTTTTTTATAGCGAATCATAAAAAACGTAAAAAAATTTTTTTTATTGAAAATTCAATTCTCTACAAAAGAATTATTTGAGTTTTTTTTTCTAAACTCAATAGTTTTGGAGATTTGTCAAATAAAAGGGATTAATTTTCTTTTAACTCATCTGTTTATTCATTTTATAAATTTAGTTTCTGACAAAAGAATATTTCAAGAGTTCTAAAAAATGGAGGCACCGCTGAATATAAAGTTTCCCTCGTCATCCAGACTAAATTCCCTCATTCTTTATGCCCAGGATTTTATAAAAAACTACCTGGACCAGTGTCCTCAGAGGCATGCAGGAGATTGCAGTACCGACGGAAGAGCGACACCATGAAACGTCAAGTGCGCGATGAGTTTCTCAAGATCTGGTGAGTTTTTCCATTTCCATGTACATCAAAGAAGACGAGAAATATACTCAACATCATTTCCGGGGATAAAATTAACTCTCGGAGTATTTCTTGGGCACCTGGATCGTAACTCGAGATATATTAAATTGGCACGAGTAGAAAAATCTCCATCTTATTCACAAAATTGGATTTCGTTACTTCTTTATTGCTGTTTCACTTTGTATTTACAGTACAGAAAAATTCTGTCTCAAACTGCGGGAAAAATCAAAAAATTTTCACAGAAATTTCAGAAAATTTCTTCATAGTTTATTAAAAAAATGAATAGGAATACTGGACGAATTCGCTGTCCAATACGCGATAACTTCTACACTGACGATAAAAAAATTATGAACTAAAGTTTAATAATAATCTTGCGCTTTCACAAAAAGTTCAGAATTTGCGTTAAAAATTATCTCGATAAACGAGAGGTTTGAGCACACGACATCGAATTTCACCTGAGACGTTAAATTTCCCAGAACTTTTTCCTAATTAGTGAAATTCTATTTTTTCTCAACAATCCAGCTTAATAATTCATTAAATTATGATGGGCTCCATTCCCGAATGGATATATTCAAACTCAACATTCGAAATCAACAGATTTATAATTTTTCTATAGAAACTGTTAAATTTATTTCACTATATTCCTAATTATTTCCACTGTTATTGTTTCTCATGATAAAATCCAAGAAAAAAAAACTTATAAAAATCATGCCCAAGAGTAAGAACACAAAAAATGGAATAAATTATACAGAAAAATCGACATCTATTTAAAAAAGCGGGGGGTCGTTGCATAATTTTCAACAGAATTCGTGCAAAAATCAAATAGAATCTGGCAATAGAATGCTTATAGAACTCCAATAGAATTCTTTACAGAAAGCGTTAGGTTGTTCTCTGAAATTTTTGACACGTATTACACATCGACTTGATGAAAAATTCATCGCTAATACCACAGCGACTTTCGAAAACTTTCGTGACCTGCCCCAGTCCCAGGGGACTTCCCCGAATTATCTCCCATCACGGGATCTCAGCACGCATTCGTATGGCAAGTCAATGTGTATCCCAAACGGGCCATTTAGTGCGGCAAATCATAGAGATCTTTTCCTGATCCAGTCGAAACCCTTCTGTGATAATTGAATAGCCACGGAACACGCTCATTTTCTCCCCAAATTCATTCAATCCAATTGGGAGGATTTAATTTACCTCTGGATTGAAAAGAACCTGAGTGAATTCAGTTTCAAAGGTTAGGAGAGCGGTGGGGGATACTCCGTGTCCATTGGATGATTCATCGGGTGAGGTTGGGTATTACGGTGGCTCAGAGTGATCGAGGAGTTTCAACTGGGTACGGCAAAATATACCCTTCGATATACCTAAGATGAATTGAGCATAAACTTTGATTGATCCCTGTACTACTGGTCTCTCAGGACAAAATAAATTGTGGATGAATCGAGTGTTTGTTGCAGTAATGGGAGCTATCGTTCATGATTTATTGAATTGTTTCATTGAGGTGTTTCTTCTGTGTCTCCGAGGGGGGGGGGGGGGGAA